GTGTATGGGAGATTGCGCATAAGTTATATGCCAATACTAAGCCATTTTATATAAGGAACTTGAGCATCTGCAGGTTTTGGTATCCAAGGTGGCTCCTGGAACCAATCCCCCACAGATACTGAGGGGCGACTGTATGTCTTGTCTCTCAACTAGATTGTAAGCTCCTTGGGGGCAGGGACCTTGTCTTACACGGTAACACCTTACTTATTGGGAATAGCTGTCTGGTAGCACCACCAGTCTGGAGCACACCAAGACACAGGAAGTAAGCAACTCTCCCCCACGCCCCCCCAAAAAGGCTTTGAATAATTAAAATATAGGCTGCTGCAAAGTCTACAGATTTTATTCCTAGGAGAGTCTCTTAGCCCTCACTCAGAACTTACTCATATTTAGATGTGATTCTAAAACTGTGTGGTGTTTGGTTTCAAAATAAAATGTAAAGGGAAGAACTACTTTAAGTGTGCACACTGATGATGATGATAATGATGTGATACCAACAGCTTGATAGAGAGTGAGGAGGCAAATGATAAGATGAAGACACTGAACTCAAAAAGTGTCATCTAGGGTCACCGAGTGTGGCAGCCAATCTCCCTGCCTGCTGCTTGTTCTTAGTCACTTAGTTCTTAGTCACTTCTTAATGCATTAAGAAAAGCTCAAAATAATGTTTGGTGGACATAGTTTAGAAGTGTAAGAAAATATTAAATGTAATGATTATTAGTCAATACAATAAAAATACTGCGTGTAAATATTATGCTAGCTAGACCAAACCTTTATTTTTACCTAGAGATCTAACTTAAAACCAGCTAGACAGAATTTCTGGAATCTTTATTTCTCTCTTATTTTCTGTATTTCCTGTAAAATAATTTATGTGAAAAACATTTGAAAGTACAAGACAAATATAAGTGGCACTTTTATTAATTGGGATTTCTGTTTTTCTAGGACTCCTTCTAATGGAACCGAAGGGCTGACACCCCGGAGTGGAACAACTCCCAAACCAGTTACTAACTCCACCCCAGGTAGAACTCCTCTTCGAGACAAGTTAAACATTAATCCTGAGGATGGAATGGCAGACTACAGTGATCCCACTTATGTGAAGCAGATGGTAAGTGTCAGTTCCCTTTTCATACTAAAAAAAAATTTTCCCCTGTGTCAGTGCATATCACATATCCTTTAAGAATCTGTGCACCAATGGATGCCAGAAAAGGAAAAGTATTTGTAAGACTTAATGAGAAGGGGGAACCTTTTGGGCTCAAAAAACTTACTTTTTCTTATGCTTAATATGTTTAAGAATATTGATGCTGAAAGTAATGCTCCTTGTATCTCTTTTGATTTTAATTCTTATCATTTATTAATACTTTCCTTTCTTGAATGATATATTTAATTTTTTCTTTCCATTTCTATAAATAAAATTTTGAGTTTCAAATGCCTCATAAATTAGATTTTGAGACTTGAATTACTCTGTTCGCTTCATACATTTAGAAGGACAGTCTAGATCTTAAAGCCAAGTTAATTTGATGCTCCTTATTTCAGTGAAGCTTTCTTTTGTATGTTTTGTAGAGTGGTACAGAAAGCTAATTATGAAAGTTACAGTTTTTGCTTCTGCCCGTTATTATTTTTATTACTTCACTGTTGGGCCTTATTATCTGATGACACAAATCGTGAATTTTTTTAAATGAAGTTTTAAATGAAGTTTCAATGATAATTGACTGGTCTTCGGTTCACAAATTAATTTTAACTTCATGTGTTGATTTGGTTAATTCATATATATTTTTAATGCCCAAATTGATATCAACTAATGCCAACTCTTAAGAACCTAATGTGTGCAAAGCATACATCTGAACAATTTAGGGAATCTAAAGTTGAATAAAGATGTCCTGTGTTCTAAAGAAGTTTATATTCTGGGGATATTGGCAGTACTGAGCTAAGACTGAAAATCATTGTAGTATTAGAACAGAATGAGCCTTTTGAGTAATATCAGCATGCTTAGGGTGGTTAATGAAAGGACTAAGTGCATTTTTGGGTATCAGGAAAGGCTTCATTGAAGAGATATACTCAGAAGGAGGGTGAGGGCTGTCCCAGATGGAAGCCACGATATGAGTAAGCATGGAAGATGTTTTGGATATAGCAACTCTTCTGGTTCTCGCACCTGTCATGGGTGTAAGGAATAGTGGGAAATGAGGCTGGAAAGGTGAGCCACAGATGTACTGGGGAAATCCCTGGGTACCAGGCAGTTTCTCTGGGACATACAGACTCCTTTTCTTTTATCTACTTATACTTTAGTATTTCCATTAAAAATAAACACATAATTTTGGGCATCTTTCAGATTAAGGTTTATTATTCAAAGGATAAACTAACTTTTGAACCTGTTCTTTTCAATTGCTATTAAATTCCAGTGTCAGAAATGTATCCCTTCAGATGAAAATCCTAGTGGTCTTTTTTCTGCCCCTGCCCCAAACCTTCTATTGGAATATCCCGGAGTGTCTTCATTGATCACTAGTCAAAGTTTATGATTGGTCTTAATGTAGGGAAGATAGGGAAATAGAAAGTAAACAGAAAACTTGACTTAGCTCTGAAGTCAGGGATCATATTTCTAGAATTAATATTAGGCTAATTATTTTTTAGAGACTCATAATATTGGTTGAATATTTTAATGTGTGTGAATTGAGAAGGACCAATTCTTTTCTACAGGAAAGAGAATCTCGCGAACATCTCCGTTTAGGATTGTTGGGTCTTCCTGCCCCTAAGAATGATTTTGAAATTGTTCTACCAGAAAATGCTGAGAAGGAGCTGGAAGACCGTGAAGCAGATGATACTTACGTTGAAGATGCTGCTGATGTGGATGCTCGAAAGCAGGTGGGTAACTGTGCTAGAAAGAAGTGTGAGTTTGAATGTGTCAGTAGGCTTAAAAAATGAAAAACGGCTATTAAATGTCTCAAGATCTCCACTTAAAAGTTTTTTCAATATTTAAAAAAAATTACCGTAAGGTAA